TGTAGGGAAGAATTTAAGAGAAGGGCAAGCAGGATTCAGTCCTAACTTCTGTGTTTGACGCTCAAGTGTCCGAGTGCTTACAAGATGGTTAAAAGTATGATGCAATACTGGATATATGTGACTTTCAATGGATTTTTTTGTTGTTGTTACCAGGGTGCTAAAGGAGACCGTGGTACAACTGGGGATGCGGGAGAAAAAGGAGAGCAGGTAAAGAGTGCACTTTCCAACAGTGCAGTGACTGTGATTCTTCATGAGAAACTGCCATGGTGTTGGTAGAAGAGTCCCATTTCCAGAGGCAGAGCAAGAAAATAGGAGGTCTTCACTGTTCTAAGCCTCAGATGCCTATGCAGATGGGAATACAGGCTCTCCAGGCTCCTCAGGCTCTCCATTTCCTGCAAGGCTTGTCTCTGTCTTGTGTTGGGGGAGTCCCAGATGATGCTTCCTCATTTTTAGATTGAGTGCATCCAGTTCTCTACGTTGCCCAGCCTGCAGTCTTGCCCTGCTAATGTGTAGATGAGAACCAGAAGGTGAATCTTTAATGGGAAAGGCTAGTGTTTCTATTAGTCCTGGAAGATGAGTGCAAGGAGGGTCTGTTTTAGGAGGAACTGAGATGCCAAAAGGAGGAGGACTGTCTAATCAGAGTAAGCGTTGGGCTTAATTGTGTCAAGGGCTAAGCCAATAATTCAGGGTGCAAGCCAGTATCTAGACTGAGATTTGTAAGATATTTTAAACAGCTTCTGTTTTTCTCCCTGATCTCCTACCTTATCTAATTCACAATGTTTATTCTCAGCTCTTGTTAGCATACAGCATACACAGTAAAAAAGTACACTGTAAATGTTGCAAAATGCATGCTTTCAAAACCAAGGCTTTACTTAAAAACGTAGTATCTCTTTATAACCGGCTGTCTTGATATTGTCTTATTTTGATGTTACCACACAATTTTAGTTCTGCTAAAGAAGTGAATAGTGCATAAAAAAACATAATACATGTTCATTTTTCAGGGCCATCCTGGAATGCCAGGCTTCTCAGGACCTCCTGGAAATCCTGGTCCACCTGTAAGTTCCTCTGGTATAAAGCAGGTGCTCCTATATTTTCGTTACTAATAAATGTTGTTGCAAGCTCCATATGGCAGAAAGGGTCATTCCCACCTGTCTGTAAATCACATTTGCATTTTTCAGTGGGTTCCTAATGGTCCTGTGAGTGTCATAGAATTCCCCACTAATGGTAATTGCTATTTAATACATCAGCCACTTTGCACTTATTGCTTCATCTCACTCTGTAAATCGATGTTAAGTTTCAGTGTATCTCTTTATATAAGACAATGATCATGAAAGCGCTTCCACAGAGACTTCTTTGTAGCATGTGTTTCCTTATCCAGAATAAGTAATCAGTCTGTAACTGGCAGATAAAACTGTGTTGCTTAGTTCTCAGTTAAGATACAATAGTATTAGACTGGATTATCTCTAGTTTTCATAAACTGTGGGTTACTTCTGAATGAGGAATCCTTTCCCGTGTATGCCTCTGCATCATGGTCTTTCTCATTCCACATACTCTCTCTACAAGTATAGTTATGATTCTTTTATTTCAAAAAGCATAATGCTCGTGTGATGTTGCAGAAGCAAGGTTAAAGTAAGTGGCTGTCCTGCCCATGGTGTCACCACTTACATCCTCCAAGAGCTGTGACTTTTCGTTAAAGAAGGTCTTTTCAATCTCCTTTGCCCACCGTCATCACTTCTTGAACTCCAGCTTCCAGTACAGTTTGGCTGTGTTCTTCTGTGGGTGCACACCCTTCATCTCTTCTGGGGATCCACACAATCTCTTCAAAGCAGAATTTGCATTGCATTGACTAAACAATTGGAGGAACCAAAAAAGAGGTTTGGATAAAAAATCTATTTTCAGATGTAGCGGTGCCTAAAGATTGTTGAATACTTTGCTGCTGGGACAACACTTAGTCCTGTTTTGCGGGTCATTTGCTTTCCTGCAGTCTTTTCTTGAGAATTATTTTAGGAGAAAATGGCAATAAAAACAAGTCTACTACCACAGCCATATTATTATTCCAGGAGGATTAAACCCCTTTAAAAATGTCCCGTGAGACCCTCTGAATGTACTCATATTGAAAAGAAATGAGCAAAATGGATCCTGACAAAAGAGAGCAAAATGTCGTATTCCTTTAGATTTTTTTTTCTGCAGCTTTTGCTGTGACTTTTCCCTCCATCTGCATTGACTCGTGATTCCAGGAGTTTGCCTTCCACAGAATATGGTTCAAACTGCTCCTATCATTTCTGTTCTTCAGAGTTATTTTTGTGACAAGATTGGCTTTTTCCTAATCATCCCCTATTTTCAGAAGGGAGGGCCAGGACCGATCTCAAATATTTGACTATTTCTGGCTTTGGAGACTGATTGTATGCAGAGATTGGCACTGCTTTTCTGTGATGAACGAAGGAATGAATGCTAAAATGAGTAAATGAGGGAAAACTTTAGTGTTGCCATCTGTGGCAGTGAGAGCATTGACAAATGTACAAAATATATCAATCACGCATTGTTTCTGCTTTATTTTATTTAGGGACCAGATGGGGCACCTGGACCAATTGGACCAGCAGGAAATCCAGGAGATATAGTAAGCTATGGATTATGTGTTCAATCACTACCTTTATCTAGCTTTACTCCTGTAAAGTAGAGCTGAGCTGGAACCATTGTCATGTTGTCTGAAGGCTTCAACCTGAAGTAATTCCACACCTGCACCCACACAAATAACTGCGGATTGCTTTGTTCTTGCAGTTGCATTTACTCACACAAAGGAACTCCAAATTAGCCAAAACTAAATCCAGTTTATGAGACTTCTTCTGAACACCCTGGGCCCGCTCTCTAAAGAGCCTTTTGTACCTCTTTTCCGTCCAGTAAATTGCCTGCAGCAGTGAATCAGAACACATGCTTGCCATTTGTCAGATCATTGCAGATTGACAGTCTGTAGCTGGGAGAAGAGCAGGAGGCTGCATGCATGTGTATTAGCACATTAAAAGATGCCTCCAATTTTTCTCTGGCAGTAAGGACAAGTTTGTGGCCTGCCTTTATTAAAGTCTTTTAGTTTCTAGAGCAAGATGGCTACATCTGAAAGGATGTAGTCATTATTGCTATATATGTATTGCTATATATATGTAGATATTAGGATGCTTCATGATCCATGCTGTCACATGAACTGTGCCTGGGGATTGTCAAAACCCAACTTGAGACCTTTTGAAGGATGTCACAGCACAGACTGACCAAATTCCAGGGTCTAAAAACATTCCCTGGCACCACTGAAAATACCAGTACAGATGTAACCTTCAAGAAATCTATGAAGAATTTTGTACAGCTGATTTATTTGAAAGTTGTTTGGATGTTTTTTTATGGTAATGCACCAGAAAAGCCTGAAAGGGGCAGTTATTTTTTTTCTTAGCAGTGTCAGCTACGCATTTCTCATAATCTCTGTTTCAATATTTATAAAATACCGAACTTCTATTTCCTGACTAGATGGAAGAAATTAAGCACCCTGTATTAAATATAATTAAACTTTAGAGGAAGCTTCTCAGTGATTTTAGGAGCTTCTGTATTTAAAAGAGCATATAATTAATATCGGATGCTTCATGTAAAAAGAAAGATCTCCGGTTTAAATGGGAATGACTTCAGGGAAGTCTTGTACACTCTGTGATGCAGGGTGCAAGATCTGATTCTCACAGTGGTCTCTCTCTCTCTCTTTCTGAATACTAAATATGCTAAAACTTCATATGATAGAAGTGTATGAAGAACTTGTCTTACTTCTCATGTTTCCGGTTTCTTTTCAGGGTAAAGATGGCCCTCCAGGTCCACAGGGACCACCAGGAGTGCCTGGACTTCCAGTGAGTGCTAGTCAGCTTCTTCCCATACTAAACATTTTATGAACATGCAGGCATGTAAATCAAGCAGGTGACACTTGAAGGTGCTTTGAAAGATGTGTATGATAGTACTTGTAATGTTCACACTATAGTATTCTTTGTCTAGACCTGCGTGAATGCTGTGTTTGACTGCTTGAAAGCTAAATATTAATTACCAACATGAAATAGGTCTGTTCCTCATCTGTTTCCTCATTCTTTGGCAGAGAAACTTTCATGCAGAGCACAGAAGTCAAATAATACATCAAATCACACGGAATTGTTGGGATTGGCAAGGACCTCTGGAGATTCTCTGGTCCAAACGACCTGCTCAAAGTGCTGCTCATTTTGCCCAGGACCATGTCTAGTCAGGTTTTGAATATCTCCAATGATAGGAAACATACGTCACCCCCACAGTGACAAAGTATTCAACCACTCCCACAGTGACAAAAGTGTTTTCTATGTTCAAAGAGAATTCCCTGTGTTTCAGTTTGTTCCTGTTCCCTCTCATCCTGTGAGGAGTCTGGCCCCTGCCCTCTTCATCCTTCACTGTTCTCCTGAGCCTTTTCTTCCTCAGGATAAACAGTCTCAGCCTTGTCTCATATGAGACTTGGTTCACATTGTCCATGTCTCTTTTGTACACTCTCCTTTGAAGACATATCTCCCTTGTGCTGAATAGAGGAGAAGGATCACCACCCTCGAATCATAGAATCATGGAATGCTTAAGGTTGGAAGGCACTTCTAGAGATCATCCAGTCCAACCCTCCTGCACACGCAGGGTCACCTAGAGCACGTGGCACAGGACTGCGTCCAAGCGGGTTTGAGGCCAGCACCATCCTCCTCACTGCCTCCCTTGAGGTACTTATAGACACTGATTAGATCCCCTCTCAGCCTTCTCTTCTCCAGGCTGAACAGGCCCAGCTCCCTCAGCCTCTCCTCATAGGGCAGATGTTCCAGGCCCCTGATCATCCTTGTAGCCCTGTGCTGGACTCTCTCCAGCAGCTCCACATCCCTCTTGTACTGTGGAGCCCAGAACTGGTCACAATACTCCAGGTGTGGCCTCACCAGGGCTGAGTAGAGGGGCAGGATCACCTCCCTCGACCTGCTGGAGACGCCCTTCTTAATGCACCCAAGGATCCCATTGGCCTTCTTGGCCACGAGGGCACACTGCTGCCTCATGGTCAACCTGTCGTCCACCATGACACCCAGGTCCCTCTCTGCAGAGCTGATGATAGAAATGTTCAAACTGGTAGAAATGTCCTTTTAATGCAGCCGAGGTTATTGTTGGCTGCCTTTGCCACAGGGGCTCATGTTCAACATGGTGTCCACCAGTAGCCCCAGATCCTTCTCTGGAAAGCAGCTTTCCAGCTGCTTTGCCCTTAGCCTCTCTATACTGGTGCATGAGACTATTCCCCCCGGTGCAGGACACTGCACTTTCTTTTGGTGAACGTCGTGTAATTCCTTTCTGCCCATTTCTCCAGCCTGCCAAGGCCCCCTGACATAATAGCTCCCCTAAGAACTCCAAATGTAAGGGCACAGGAACTCTTAGGCAGAAATATTGTTTTCATAAAGAAGAATCTGCTGCTGAAATAATTCCTTTGCATTGGCTCCAGATGAAATGCGTCTTGGCAATAGAATCTGATTTCTTCTGCTACTACAATGTTTTGTTTTGTTTTGTTTTTATGCCTTAAGGGGATAAGGCCAGAGATACTTCTATTGTAAAGCAATCTAGCTCAATGGTATTATAATGATTTATACCAGCTAAGAATCTGTTTTTAGAATCCTATCTTTATAGTATTTTGGAGTGCTTGCCTTGCTGAAAAGGAGGTTCACTTTAGAGGTACCATATAGGAGGCAGTTTGTGCTAGCACAGTAGTGTGCCAAGGAGAGGCTTATGGCTGAGCCGTAGAAATAATGTAGATTTCTGAGGTCTGTGCAAACTCAAGTATCCCATGATAAAGCAGAGATGTCATTGTAAGACTGTAAGATTTCACATTGATAAAACATACTGATCCTTCTTATAGCCTCCATCTTTATACTTTGTTTTGCATTTCATTTACAGGGCATTGCTGGAAATGACGGCAAAGATGGCAAGCCAGGATCTCTTGGGGAACCGGTAATGTAATTTAAAGCTGTTTCACTCAGGCATTCAGAGCCTGCATCCAGTTATTGCTTTTGGAGCTGCCTATCTATGGACTCCTTAGGGGTCCAGGGAGTCTGTTTGCATGTCTTTTTTTAACACTAGAAAGACTATATTGTTTTCAACGTTTTAGAGGATTCACACACTAGCAATCTTGAGAGGAAACTGTTCTTTTACTTTTACAGCTACCATAAATATTCTAAACCCTAGTGATTCCACTTTTACAGCTACCGTAAATACTCTAAAACATAGTGATTCCATTTTACAGCTACCATAAATATTGCAGAGACAGCAGGTTGTTTTGTACTACTAAATCCTTAATCCATTTTTTGGCCACTATAGGACTGTGTGATTAAAAATGTAGGGGCAGGATGTCTTCAAAGAAGACCCAACCTGGGATGCTCTGTAACTGTTTTGTTATCCAGGATCGAGTGTTTTATATTTGATTTTCTCTATTTAGTCTATACTCAGGTTTGTCGAAAGAAAAGTCTGAGTCATGAAGTTGCCTAGTTGAAGAGAAGTGCTAATAAACGGTCATGAAATGTAATTCCTTGCAAGTGTATTTGTTATAATAAGAATGTATTTTTGGAATCTGGCTTTGCCAACTTTTTTTAATGCGATTTGTCAAAATACAGCCTAAGAGTTGGTGGGTCTGTAAAATGCCAGGTCCCCAGTCATTAGGGAAACCAGTATGTGGAGCAGCAAGTCCAAAGACACAAGTGTTCTTTGAACTTCAAAGAGTATGTTCCCAGTAGTACTAGCAGAGGCACCCATGGGCATGTCTGTATTGCATTTCCAGGTATTGCTGGAAAAACCCTGGGCAATCATATTTCTCAGTATACTTATGCTGCATGTAAGGGGGAAGAGTGGAACGAATTTTATGTATCAAACTCCCATTGATATATTTTTTTTCTTCTACTTTTTCCTGTAGGGGTGCCAGAGGCTTGCCGGTAGGAGCTGTTCTACTTACCAAAAGATTCACTACAGAAATTCTTTTGTACTTTTGGCTTGGAAACTTTTGTTGGGCAGACAGATTGCTTTGCTGATATTTATGAGTAGCCAAGAGCTGTCTTGACTGAAAATCGTGATGGTATTGTGACTATGTGTAAATGATATGTTAAAAATACAGAAGTATTTTCAGATTCTTCACAATAAGGCTGACCTGGAGCAAGTGCTTTACCTATAAGATAAAGCACAAAAGCACGGCACCTTCTTTTACCAGAAGGTCACAGCTGTAATTCATGTGCTCTCTTATGTGTTCTCAGAACGAACAGGGACAGTGAAATCTAGGGCCAAATGATCTATGGACTGTTCACAGCAGGAACGTACGCACTGTGGTCTTGCAGCCTATGGAGCTATGGAACAGTCTGTCATATGTCTGGAACATAGCCCTTCCTTATCACTCCTTGGGACATGACAGCTCCATGGTGACCAGTTCCTTGTAATCTTAGGCAAAATTGGAAAGTTATTAACTGCACATTAAAGCTGAAGCTTTCTGAATGCTTCATGCATTGGGGTAATGGGGGATCATTGACTTCATTCTCTGTTATAGGGTTTCAAAGGACAGAGAGGAGATACAGGTCTCCCAGGTCCCCGGGTAAGTACCATGCCCTTTATGCACACAGGATGGTCTTTTGGAGAAATACTGTGTTGATTAAACAGTTGACTCTAGAGTCTTTTTGAAGCTGTAGAAAAAAATGATGACAGACCTATGTTTGACAATGCTGTTTCAACCACAATTCCATGGGCTGCACCCATGGCATAAAATCACAGCAGCCGTCTTCATTCGCTCTCCTGAAGTTCTGCTTGCAGGTAAGGCGAGGCAGTGGGTAGATCTGATTTCTTTGATGCGCACTTTGAGATAGCCCTTTGTAAAAACCACCTTGTTTGTGTACTACATCCCACTGGTACAACTGCTGAAGGGCAAGGTGAGGAACCCTCCTGCACTTATAGTGCCAGTATCAGATCTCCAAAAAAAGTCTTGTTAATGCAGAGTGTGTTCAGAGACAAAGCATACAGAAAAGAGACTAGAAATGCATCTAAGCCTTTGGCTTAGTTGCCTGTGAGTCATAAATCATAAAATTCAAGCTCTGCATGAGAAGTTGGGCTTCTTGCAGTCCTGAGTCTGCAGTGCAGCACAAAAAGGTTCCGTGGTGTACAAAGTGGAATACGAAACGGAATACAAAACTGAATGTCCTTTTGCGTAATTCTTTTTCTCCGCAGGGAAAGAAAATGCTGCACTCACAGGAGCTTAGCTGAGAAATCCAGTGCTGGATTTGCTTATCTCTTTCTCATTAAAAGAGTTTTTGCATCATGAGTACGTTGGTGATTTTCAATCACTGTATTAGCGGTGGCTAATATACTGCTGGAAAGTGCTGCACTACCTTGTGCATCACTTGCAGAAGATGTTCCTGAGTTATTTTCATAAGCCGTGTATCCTGTCTAGTACGAGGTTCCTCTTGGCCTTAAAAAGGCCTCACACCTCCACAGAATTATGAGCTTCAGTCCAATATTTCTGAAGCTCCACACCATTTGCAGTGATGTTACTGGTCTGTCATTGACCTTGAGTTGGTTTCTTCTTCCTTCTTGCTGAATTGCAGGGAGAGCCAGGTGCAGCAGGTCCTGCTGGGCGTGAGGGGCCACCTGGGAAGGATGTAAGTATATCACTTGGAGCAGAAATTAATCCCCTGCTCTCTGACAAATGAAAATTTTCATTCGCAATGTTCCTCCCCACAAAGTGCAGAAACTGTAGTAAAGGGTAAATTATTGCAGGAGTGCGCAGGAAATGGTTTGTGCAAAGCTCATTACGGTAACAAGGAATTAGAGAGCTCAGCGTCTGGCACTTATATGTCAGCTATATCTTTGGAAAAGGGAGAAAACTGTACTGTTTGAACCACAGTCTGTGGTGATGGGCTTGCTGTCTGCCACACACTTCTCTGAGCCACGCTTCATTCAGCAAAGTCCCAACGGGCCAGATTCTGTCACAATTCTTCTACAAGAGCTGTGCCTTACTGCACAAATCGCTCCACTGAAACCCAAGAAATACCTGTGGAATAAGACGCTACTGCTCAGAGGAAAGACAGACAGTATAAACAGATCCTTTGACATTATTTGTTTTATATGCAGTCATGGAACAAAGTCCCAGGAGACCATGACCTGGGCAGGATCCTGCACTAACTTCTGAGCAATGCACCAAGTGGCTGCCATGCTATTTCCATGGGACCTGGGGAGGTGGTGTCTCATTTGCACTCCTTGCGTCACTGTAAAAATGTTATGCTGCAAATGATAAAGTGGAAGATAGGCCTAGGAGAACTATCCATAAAAGGTAGAAGCAGGTCTGAAGCCTAGTTCAAGAAAAAGCAAAATAGTCAGTTCTTGAGAAGTGCTGGAGAATCTTTGTTATTGATAAATCAGCTTTAAGGTAACCTGATGCTAATGGTTTATCCTTGCAATCACATTGTATTTGGAGACAGACAGACTTTTAAAACTCAAGGAGAGGCTGATTTTCATCCTGCATAACTGGAAGGGAGGAGTGAGGCTTTAATGCTGCTTTCTCTAATACATGAGCAGAACAATTTAACACAATAATTTACTTGCTGTTTTGTCAGATCTTCCTTACTTAACACAATACTTTTCTTCCTTTCAGGGTGATACTGGTCCCATAGGACCACAAGGTCCTCGAGGACTCAGAGGGCAGCCGGTGAGTTTTCATTTTCAACAGACTTTGAACCGTGCATTGTCTATAGTGAAAATATCCTAGAATCTGACTGTCTTTGGAAAAAAACAAAACAAAACAAAACAACAACAACAACAACAAAAAAAACCCAGAAGATTCTGATGGTGTTTGATTATAACATTTTACTTCGGGAAAGATATATCAGCATGATATTGATAAATACTACTGTGAACAAGTAGTTGTGCCAGATAGTGATGACTGCTGATTTGGGCATGAGGAGGATGTGGAATGGGTTCTGCCAGACCTAGAGTGTCAGAAGTGCTCATATCTCAGTCATGCCTCTGGCATTTCATTCACTTCTCGTATGACCTCTGGATGTGGTTTTCAAAAGTAAACTCTAATTGCAGGTGCCTAGTTTGAGATATTTGGGGTCCAATTATGATACTTAAAGGTGAACATTCATTTTGTCATGCTCTCCAATTTTTCTTCTATGGAAAAGTTTAATTTTAGGAAAAGATTTTTTCAGCTTCTTTTTTAATTGAACACCTATAGAGTTTTCTTACATCTCAAGTGGAGAAATGGCAATTTATTTGACATTTCAAGAATTGCTAGTTGGGATGACTGAGAAATTACTATTTCCTGGCTTTTTAATTTTTTCTCAAAAATGAACCCTTTTCCAAATTTGAATGCAGGTCTCAATTGTTGAGCCTGAGTGCATCTTCAATATGTTGAAATAAGAATGATTTCTTTCTGGGAAGACAAGTTAGCAAAACAGTGTCTATAACGTATTGCGAACTCGGAACAAAATGCTGACTCAGCCAGCAATGCCAGGAATTGGAACAGCCGGTCGCTTGGAGATGGGATAGTAGGGGTTTAGATTAGACTGCAGGAACATATGGATAGATTTTGTGTCTAACTTAAAATTTATCTTATTATTCTTGCACTGCTGGCATCACTCATGAACACATAGTGACCCTGCACAACACTAGCAATAAACAAGAAAGTGTAGGAGACGGAAATTATCATTTCTCCAAGCTAAGCCATGTCCCTTTGGAGAGGAGATGTCTGGATTTTGAATGTTGGAGGGCAAAGTACCAGTTTTCCTTGTTCTTCATCTGCTCTATTTCCTCTCTAATAAAGAGTATGAGATAAAACTTTGAATATTACCAGTAAAACCACTGTTTTTTTTTGCTGTCAGCTCCAGTGCAGTGAAAAGCACCTCTGCACAGTGAATTCAGAGGAGAAAGGCACAGGCTACAGAATTTAATCTCAACAAACTTTAGACAGTGGAGATGATCACATCTTCTTTTATGAGGAATTAGAGGAAATCGGTCCTTTTAAAGAATGATTTCAAGTTTTTGGAAGATCATTCCAAGTTTTCTAGTGTCAAAAGAATGTCAGATTCATCAAATCTTTACAGCATGTGTCCATTCTCCTTAAAGGGCATGCCTTAGATGCTTAGAAAGCAAATGCCTGGCACAAAGAGCCTGAGTCAGATAATAGCCCTGAGAGGATGGTAAGCTTTTCTGAGGAGTGATTTCCAGGTGCTGGAGAGAGGTCACTGGAGTGAGGAAGTTTCAAATGTAAGAGGGTGTGGAGAGATCTTGAGATACCTGTCAGTGAGTGCAGGGCACTTTTACATTGATCCAAGTGTTGCCCAAAGCAGCTTCAAAAAGGGCGAAAGAGAATTGTCTGAACACTCATGATTTGTAGCTGCCATAGCAGGTACACCCACCTGTACAGGATAATCCTATATATGATAGGGATGAGGAAGAGGAGTACTCAGTTTGCACATCCTCTTCAGACTAAGGCATCTAGATATCTCACCTTCTGTCAGAAGATGGGGTCATCCATGCAACCAGGGATGCAGAAGTTACAGGATAAGTGTAGAATAAGAGATCTTACTCTGTAGCCTACCGAGAGAAGAGGAGGCTGGACAATGCTGAAGAAATCTCTTCTATTGTAGAGTAAGTGGATATGTTTCATTATAGTATATTCTGCTTCACTACTTGTATCTTTTCTTTTGACCTAGGGCAAGAATGGATCCCCTGGACCTGCGGGAGAGCCTGGCCCAGCTGGTAACCCAGTAAGTACTACAAAAGGACACCCAAGCAGCAAGCAGTTGTATCAAGGAGAGGTGACTGATGAAGTATAGGAGAGGATTTTGTCGGTGTTCACAGTCCCTCAAGTTGCTATCTGAAGATAGGAGCTAGTGACCTGCAAGGTATTTCCTGGCCACAAAATCAGGGAGCCACTGGCTATGTTTCTGGAATTCAGCTGCTAGTTGTCTCATCATTTTTCCCAGCAAACACTAAGTGTTCACAGAGAGAGGAAATGATTGATTACTTTGTGTGAAGAAAAGATTGGCATGCCTCTTCTTTATGAGTGGGTTTAATTTTGTCAAGCAGAGAGTGTTGCAACCAGCAGAGAGTTGTCAGAGGAAGGAGAGGGCCTTGAGGCATTGGCAGGCTGCCATTGAGGAATAGCAGCAGTAGAAAAATCCTTCCCAGGTGTTTTGGTAGAGAGCAGGCAATGGGCAGTAAACCAAGATCATGGAGCAGAACAAATCCCCCCAGGTGGGGTCCTGTGTAGAAGAGCAGCATAGTAATGAAAATCGATAAAGAGGACAGTCAGGAAGATTTTGTTTGTTTATTTTAATTAATTAATTCATTTTTTCCTCTATGTTCTACTGCTGAAAATTATTCAGAGTTCAGCAAATCCATGGAAATGAACCTTTATGTCTAGTAGTACCTACTGAAATCCTGAGCTTTGCCCTTTTGGCCTCTCTCTGTTTACCCAGACATTACAGCTCACTGGAGTATTAAATTCAGAGACAAATGCAAAGCAGGAGTATGAAAAATTGCAGGGGGGCTCGTTCTTTGTGTCACCCTTGCATCACAATGAAGCAAACTCAGCCTAATGATTGACTTGGGCCATAGGCACGTTTTGCCGTGCCGCACATACCTGTCCTTCTAAGCTGTTGCAGAGAAGCAAGCAACACATTTCTGCATGAGTTGGTGATAACATGTAGTTGTATGGAGCCTCCCAATCTTTCTGTAGTCAAGAAGCAATGCTGCTGCTTTCTTCTCCTGGCCACAGCTTCACCCTACCTTTCCGGGATCACTACTGTGGCCTCTGCCCCTTTGTATCACTGCTGTTGTCTTTTCAGCATCCATTTCTTCTTCTCGTCATACCCAGCCCTGTTCCCAACTCCCGTCGCTGCTTATTGGCTTCTTGAGGTTGATGCCTCTTCTTTGCTGTCTTCTGTGGCTCTGAAGGCAATTTTTAAAATAATCACTGTGTTGTCACATTACCTAGGCAGTCATCTAGTCACCTGGGGATTCATCAGGCAGCTGTCTGCACTAACTCAAAACCAAGGTAGCCTTTGCTCCAGAGGATTTACAGTCCAAAAATAGCATAAGACATTGAGAAATGGACAAAGTCAGATGGATGAGAAAAGTAAACAATGACAGTGCTGGTCAGCAGAGCAGACAGTGGCTCATTGGTACTTTTCTCTGGCATTAAAATGAATTCTCTTCATAAAGATTATTATGAGGAGTACTTTATTCTGTACAGTGGTCTGTTTATTTGCAGTCTTGTCTAGAAATACACTAATTTCCTTGGCAACATACCATGGCGTGACAAACCAATATATAACATTTCCATTGGAAAAAAAGGACACAGTTGTGGCAATAAGGATTTCTTTTCCATCTTACAGACTGCTACACTACTGATGAGTTTTAATCACAAGGACACTGGGCAATAACTGCCAGAAAGCTACTTTTGTACTCAACTCATTGGCAGTGAAAGTGCCACTTCATAATACTACTTAAATCTGCATATGGAAGTGCAGCCCCTGTCCAGATATCTCCAAGCTTTTCTGGTTTGTGCAGCGTCATGGGGCTTGGAGTCCTTGTGTGCCTGAAAGTCTTCGAGTTCATCAGATTTGCTAGAACTCACTTTACAGCAGGCAGGTTGGAAATGAAAACAAATTTTACTCTAAAAAGTGAAAGTCAGTTACATTCTGAATTAGAAGATGGAGGACATTATTGTGAAAGGAAAGCTTAAAATAAAAGTTTTCAAAAATATGAACAGGAGAGGCATCTGTTTCCTAAGCTGCCCATTTAAGCTGCCCGGATTTGTAATAACAGAGAAAAAAATGGTGTGCGTTTCACAAAAGATAGGTACAGGGTGGACATTTTTAAATTGAACATGTAAATAGTGGCAAAGGAACAACTCAGAAGTTATTTCTCTGTTAATTATATTCTCAGTTTCATGCACTATAACCATCTGGCCTGTGTTCCCTTTGTGCATTACAGCTTTTCCATGGCTGTGATGATACCTTATAAATTGTGCAGCACAAGAATAACCACTAAACATACCTCCTATCATTTCCATAATTGTCACTTCATTTTCATCTTTTCACAGGGACTCTACACAACTTATTAATAATGCAGACATGGTGTTTGCAATCTGCTTTTCTAAATGACTTTGTTTTTCCGTTCTTTGTCATTCTGGGGAGTCCTGCTGCTACAGTGAAATTTCACAGTCCTGGTGTATCTGTAAATGCATGTTTTGGAAAAGAGATTTTGGAGAAAGAGCTGCTAGTATCTATTTCATTTTCGTTCTAAGGGTCCAAAAGGAAATAAAGGAGAAAACGGCAGCCCAGGACTCCCTGGTTTTGTAGGACCCCGAGGACCACCTGTAAGTATGTGTGGGGATGCGTCAGAGCCACTAACTGCCTGGTTTAAGATGTTGGACTGATGGAGATGGGACACAGTCATCTTTAATTGGGTTACAAGGTATAGTCAGTAGATCTGGCAGATCCACAAGCAAAACATTTTAGTTTCAAAGGTAACTGGACTGCAAACAATAACATTTTTTGAGTGCAAACATCTGTAATTTTATTTACTGAACTAGTACCTATCAATCAGTCCTTGTAATGTGTGAATTTATTGAGCTGATACAGTAGTCTTAACAGAAGTATGAGGTAACTGCTTACTCAGAAGATCTCTCTGCATGACCCCTAGAAGGGCTATAATAATGCAAGATACACTTGATATTTTCTGCCTGAGAAAAATTATTTTGCTGCCGTAAATTCAGCTTTTCAAGGGCTAGCAAAAGAGGCACATTGCAATTAAAATACTCAGGTATCTCCCAAAGTAATCTAAAAAGAACACCTGTACACCTGAAAATATCACAGCCTTGAAATCCAATATCTTGGACCATTCTAGGGCTAGCAGAATATGTTGCATTTCACAAGGAACCTGGAAAAGGTGAATACTAGGTAAACGTTTTATTTGTGGCCCTATTGTGACTTATGACTTAAGATGATGAGATGTAAACATATTCATATGAATTTAGGAAAGCTGAATCTTTGTGTGTGTGTGTATGAGAGAGAGAGAGAGATTACAAAGGGAGTTTCATGGTGGAAAGTGGAGAAGGAAATTTTTTTTTGGAAATTAATTGAAAGCAGCAAACATGGTGGCCATTTAAAGATGACATGGCACTATGGAATACTTGAGCAATTCTGCTGCTGTCTGTGATCAGGATGCATACCCTGCAGGGGGCACACATGGATGTAGGATACCCTGGTGCAATTTGTTATATACAGGAAAAATATCACCTGCACATGCACATTAGAGATACGATCATGTGTGTGGGCTGTATATGGATTCTAAAAATAAATATTTTCATTCATTTATAGGAAAATCTTGAGAACTTTAGCAATTTCTAGTTTAATACTTGCTTCGTTTTTCCAGTGCAGTGCTTCAGGATTATAGTGATAGATTTTGTTTGTTTGTTTTTTCCTTGAAATGCCAAAATCCCAGAATGGTTGAGGTTGGAAGGGACATCTGGAGATCATCTAGTCCAACCCCCCTGCTCCAGCAGGGACATCTACAGCATGTGGCACAGGGTGGCATCCAGGAGGGTTTGGAAGATCTCCAGATACAAAGATTGTAGTGGTTGTTATTCATTGATAAGTGCAGACTACAGAAAAAAAATATAATAGGGTGCTTGCTTAAATTTAGGAAATTTGAAATAGTTGGAAAACATGCAAGCTGTTAGGCTGAAAGTTGTTTTATTACAGGGGCTCCATCCGTTATCTCAGTTGGTTGTAGTACCTTCCTCTGACATCTTTAGACTGCTATGGCTATAATCTTGACACTGATTAAGATTAAAAAAAAAAAAAAAAAAGACTGACAGCTTTTAGTAAATCAGCCAAGGTAAATTTTAGGCAACTTTGTGAAACATCCTTAAGAAAAAGGAGCAATTTGTACTGAAAACAGGAACACATTTTCAATGAAACATATATCCTGATCTCAGCTGGTTCTGTAAAAATGACTAACTGCTTCCTTTCATTTAGAAACATTTACATGATATATGCAGCTATACTGAAAATGCATTTTAAGGAGCTGCCTTTCTAGAAGATAACCTATAGCAGTAGTCTAAGAATAAATAGCCTAAACCCACTGCTGTGGAACAGAACACTTATGCCCTAGACAGAATTTGAAATTCAGGCTTATTAGTTAGTGTCTAACATCCTATTCCTTGCAATGTTATGCTAAATTCACTCTTTGTATCTCTCAGGGAGAACCAGGAGAGAAAGGTCCTCCAGGAAAAGAGGTAAGATAACTCCCACTTGTTTCAAAGGAGAGCTGCGGTCTTGCTAAAAATGTCACGTATTCTTCCCGGATTGCAGCAAACTGATTTTTTCTTGAATTGCTGATACTTGAGAGAAGTCAGAGAGCTCTCAGGCATCTGGGGGATAAACAGCAAGGCATTTTCTCCCAGGTCACAGGAATCATTGCAAAACTGTGGATAGCACTTACATGCTCACCCTTATTTTGTTGCAGGGCGTACCAGGGAAACCAGGTGAAATTGGCTCCAGAGGAGAGAGGGTAGGTTGGAGAGCATCTTTAGCATTGTATTGTTACTCTGAAATCAAGAGAGGTCTTCTGGATCAAAGATGGGGAGAAGGGGTCATTCAAGGGTGAAGTGTGGCCTGTAGGGAACTGCTGTGCTTCCCCGTCCTCCCAGCCATCTCTTTAATCATCCTGCATCAGTAATAATTTGTAGATCATTTGTAATGCGCCAGATGTTGTATTCAGTAACTTTGCCAGCTCAGCTGTTTGTGTTTCGCTGTGCTTGGAAAACTGAAGTTTCTATTTTATTTTGTGGTGGCCCTTTTTTCTATTAGGGACAGCCTGGCATCAAGGGTGAAAAAGGCTCTCCGGGAGAAAAGGGCCCTCCAGGTGATCCAGGAATACCTGGTCATAAAGGCCATCCGGGACTGATGGGTCCTCATGGACCTCCAGGAGACAATGGACAAGTTGGACCTCCAGGTCCCCCAGGACAGCCAGGATTTCCTGGACCACGGGTAAGACTGGCAGATAAGAGGTTTTTCCAGTAATACTGCTGTCACAGTGCATGATCAGCAAAATGCCTAAGAAAAGACTGTGGTAAGACTGATTGTAACATGCCCTTGCAATGGTCTCTTTAGAGTGGAAGCATTTTTGTCTGCTATCTGTCTGTTTATAATTAAAAAAGCAGGACTATAGCATATTTTAAGCGATGTGTTGTTGGGGAAAGAACAGTGTGGAGACAGGTCCTTCTAAGCGAACTTTATTTGAATGCATGTAGCTACTGCAGCAGCCTTCTGATGCAGCACATGACTGGGATCTCAAATGACTGACTGACTTATTTCGGTTTCCGTGGTTTTTCACAAGATGAATGTTATTTATAAATTCTAATTAGAGTTATAAAAGGAAGAATTCTTCCAGCATAAAACTGCTGCTGCACGGGTAGCATTCCCTGTGGTAGCCTGGTTCATGACTTCTGTGTGCAGCATTAGATTGAACTTCCAGAGGGCAGAGCAATTCAGACCTGTAGGAAAGGCTTCCAGTCCCTTACTCCTGAAATAGCTTCTCTCTATATGTGTGTTAATGCATAGCTGTTTGTATCTCCATGTTTCTTTCCTCTACCTCTCATTCTGGCTATAATGAGCCAGAATGCTCGGCCGTGGAAAGGTCACTGCTTTATTCCTGGAAATCCTGGAGTCAGATAATCAGAATTCATGAAAAGCTATTTTAGTTCAATATTCTTTCTTATCCACTCCCCCCCCCTTTTTTTTTTTCGACAAGAAACACTGCAGACAGAGTGCCTGAGGGCTATGTATGTAGAAGAATGAGAATTACTACTTACACTAGTGAAACCACTATAACCATTTTTAGGATTAATTCTGTCTTTTGAGATTACCTTAGGGGGGTATACAAAACAGTAAAATAATCTGCGATGGATAATCTGTTGGATTAATTTTAGACATTCTCTGTGTTTCAAAACACCAGATTTGATGAAATCCAGAATGAATATGGAGGCATAATGCAACTAATAGGGTTAAAGCTCCAAATGATACTTTTTTTAAGCCCTCGGAGAATGTTCTGATCATATTTACTTTTTAGGATATTCATTAAGAACTCTCACAAATGGCTAGTAGCAGCGACAATTTCTTTTGTTACCAGTAAGCATCATTTTCTCATGCAAAATCTTGGTTTGGAAGAAAGCAGGAAATGGACAAACTCTGTATTAAGCAGCAGTGTTATATAACGTATGTTAAAACTGGAATGTCTTAGCTATTTAGTAAAATCTCCAGTTCTTAATGAAGAACAATTTCTGACTCTGAAGACCTCGCAGGCTTTCTGTAGAAATAGAGTACTCATGCTGCATCCTTGTACATTAAAAGGAGTGAGGAAAAAGAAACATTTTCATATGGATGGTTTGATCTGAGAAGAATATTGATTTTAGTTTGAGCAAAAATATTTTCAAAATTGTTGCAATTTTGAAGATTAATTTAAGCCAAAAAAGGAAGTGTATTTTATGTGAAACATCTCATTTCACAATTTCTGAAGGAAAATGTTTGAGCTTGTCATCTCAAAATGGTTGCATTTTAAAATACAGCTACTTTTTTTCTTTAAGTTATCCAAAGGAGTTTGCTTGCTCTAAACCTACTTTTTGTTTTCCCAGAAAGTCCCAACCCAAAATATCCCAGGCTGCCAAACTTCCTTTCATCAGTTTTTCAATTGGAACACCCAGAGCTGTTGCTCACGTAGCATTGAATGCTGATGGAATATTACAGCAGTTCAACAGTATTATTGCACAGGAGAACTGAGAAAGGGACATAAAGGATGCGTTCCCTTGGGAGATTGGGTAGGGAGTCTAGGACAGGCAGATGTGTTGCCTTACTCATATATGTCTTTGAGCCATGTCAAATATGAGTCCTCGAGCTCCCTAACCCCCTTCAGTATCCTGAAATCAGGCTGGAACTTTTATTTGCTTGGAGGAATGGGTGTTCTGTGAGCAAACTGGATTTTGTTGGCTCTGCGTGCTGGAAGAGTAGTAATTTTGGATGTTTGGAGTTCCTTTACGCCTCCCCTTTCTTTCAGGCAGTCCGTGCAGCCCCGGGTATAAGTAGGTGAAGGAATGCAACCCACTAAGCCCTTCATTGAAGGCTTCATTTGCTCTCAGGACTGTGATTATTGTGTTTTGTTATTGCTGTGATTGTTACTCTCCAGGGAGAGCCGCCGTCTCTGGAGACTTTGAGGAGGCTAATCCAAGAGGAGTTAGCAAAGCAGCTAGATGGTAAGTAATTTGCTCTGGGAATCTGATAGGTTGATCTGGGGCTATAACAAATATGCTATAGCTCTGATTGTGTAGTTAGCACTTGGACCTCTCCTTGTAGAAAGCAATGCAGAGATAGGTCTGCCTGGAAAGAGGAGATGGGTAAATGTATTTTGCAAGTTTTAGCATTCCCCTTGCTTAGAGTTGCTAGCAATAGCACAGGCACTTTCTCTCCTCATCAGGCCAAAGACATTGCCTGTGCTAATTACACTGAAATTGCTTGGTTACAGACTCATTGCTGCAGGTGCCTGGGGAGAGATAGTAGGAAAAGAGAAGCTACCAGTTAAAACAGAGTGATCTCTGGACTGTGGACTTGGGTAAATGTGCTTGTTAGGTTTTAGCTGGACAAGTGGTTCTGCAGCATCCATGCAGGGTATCAGGGAGAAGGGATGTAGTCTGCTACTTCTTTCAAAGTATGTGAATTCGGTCAGCCACTGCTGACCATATCCACAGTGAACCGTAGAGTTGCATGCTGAGACCTCCTCATGTAGCTCTTGGGACAGCTGAAACATGTCCATGGGCACTTGCCTCCATGCTAAAATCATGGTGAAATGGAATGATTCCTTTGAATGATTTTATTCCATGCTTTCAGACTTCAAACATCATCACCGCAGCCTGAAAGCCATCAAGATTTTGAATCAATGAACAGAACATAGAAAACTCTTCTCCCTTCCTTTTGTAGGATATTTTTTGTGATTCTGAGTGTGTTTTAAAGCTGTCTATACTGCTCTGTGTTTGAATCTGGAAGCAGCAAGTAGTGTGTCTGAATGGAAGTGAGAGAATATGCTGACATGGAGAGCTGCTTCAATTACAGTTTCTCAATTCATAGCCAGAGATGAGTACATTGGGTTTGACTTCATATGTGTAACAGCCCAGAACAGAAAAGAAAAAATTCTTCCTTCCCATAGCATTTGCTGTATGTAGCGGAACTGGTGAAAATAAGTGTTTCCTTTCAAAGCAGTGTGGATTGAATTCTACAGACAGTCATCCACTGCCTATACAAATAAAAGGGAAGAAAAAGAAAACTTCTCATGTCATGGACAACAGGATGAGAGACATGTATAGGGCTAAGGATGATATTCAGAAGATGTTTTAAGCTACTGGGACATGCAGATTGAAGTAGAAAAAAGAAAGTTGATGTGTTGATGATTTACGGTGAAGGATTGCGTCAAGATAACAGATTAGGTGGCCCTGAAAATCTGGTCTTTGAAAATGCATGGGATTTACTGGGCTAGTAGTTTTAACTTTCTGTGCACTGACTTTCTAGTCCAAACAAACAAAAAAGCAATTTCTCTTTCTTCACAGCAAAATTAGCCTATCTCTTGGCTGAAATGCAGCCTGCACATGTAAAAGCATCCCATGGCAGACCAGGACCTCCAGGTCCCCCTGGAAAGGAAGGACTCCCAGGAAGAGCTGGTCCTCCAGGAGAGCCTGGCCGGCCTGGACAGACTGGGTCTGAAGGGCCGCCTGGACCGATTGGTCCCAAAGGTGAGTGAACTGTAGTTATTTAGAAAATCTGATGCGATGTGTCTACCTCCTAGACTTTAGTGCTGACACTGAGTGGCAGAAATAGCATGTTGAGGTATGGCAGTTCTGGTGGAGAGCTGGGAAATGGAGCAGACTGAAAAGGATATTGTACTGTGTGTTTTTAAAGGAAATAATTCATACTTTTAATTGCTTTGGCTTTTTTTTTCTACTTTTGTAACTAAAATCATTGTTTCTTGAAAATCATTTTCTTTTTTTTGAACAGAACTACCCCATAGTTTCCCACATATTGGAATATTGAAGGTCTAAGTTATTGTCTCCCTTTCATTTTGCTGAGGGTAGGTTTTACTCAGACATTTCAGTGATGTAAACAATGAGCTGGACTAGCAACTTTGGTGTCTGTTTGTAATGTCTGAGTGGTCCTCAAAACCTGTGTGTGAAAAGCAGTAGTTTGTTTCAAGCAGAGAGGTTGTGAATGTGACCATCAATTGTAGAGTGTGTTCAGGCTTCAGCCAGAATTGGAGGGGTGCATATCTTCATCCCTGCTTTTGTCCTGTCTCAGAGACGTGAGCACAATTAGGAAGTGTTTTTTTATTATTATTATTATTTTCAATAATATTAACTCCAGTGTAGATAGAAGATCTGTTGTAATATCCTTGAGTTACTGATTCATTGTTTTTTCTCCCACTTTCTACAGGAGAAAGAGGAGTGAAGGGTGAGAAAGGAGATACTGGTGTTGGTCAACGAGGGGAAATTGGTCCTCCAGGAATTCCAGGTGTGTTTATTCAGAAAGCTCCCCAAGTCACTATCACTCAGAACAGTTACAGGGACAAAGGTATGTTAGATAGGCTGTCAGGATAACACAAATATGGTATACATAATTTCTCTAGCTACTAGCCCAAATGGAAGAAGGATATCATGTATATCCCATCTGGCCACTTTTGTTTCCCCAGACTGTCTGAGAGGATTGTACAGGAAACACTTCATAATTCCATGGGCTGCATTTGGCATGCAGACCCCACAGTACCTTAAAATAATGGCAGTCCCATCACTTTTCTCCCACAGCTGGCTCTTGACTCAGGCTTCTCCATGCCCACATTCCCTGTGCTAGAACTACACATCAGTGCAGCTGCACAGCTCCAAGAATGGAATGGCAGAGGATCAGTGCTTGTAGTGGAGCTGTGCAACCCAAGGGTGCCCTGTGGGGTGGAGGACTTGCTTTTCAGCCATGCTTGCCACATGCTTGTAGGTAGGCGCAGGCCAGACCCAAATCTGTGGGAGCTGATGTGATGTGTGACTGCAGCACTAGCTCCTGTATCACTGCAGTGCTCAGCCTCATAGGGTGCCACTGACCAAGGGTGTTTTGTTTTTATTCTAGGCCTCCCAGGGGAGCCTGGCTATGCCAAAGATGGGATGCCAGGACCACCTGGCCCTCAAGGTGAAGCTGGTTTGCCTGGTCTCATGGGCCCACAGGGACCTCCAGGAGCCAATGGACAGTGTGACCCTTCTCAGTGTGCCTACTATGCAAGCCTGGCTGCCAGGCCTGGCAATGTCAAAGGGCCCTAGTGTGTGGGCTGTATCCCCAGACTTGTTTTTAAAACTTGAATTCAACAAACCTGCTAAGAGCTGTCAGATATCTTTGTCTTCCTTGGGAGGTCTTCTAGGCGATTAAAGCCAACAAATGCTGCCGGTCGGTCAAATTATTTTTATTATAATTATTATTATCTTTGATGTGACATGTGGCTTTGTTTTTGTTTTCTCTAACATCAGGGCATATTAAAACATTAAAAATAATTGTTTTTCTTTTGAAGAGCATGAGATGTTGATGCATACTAGAGCTGCTTTTGCAGAACCCTTCTGGTGCCTTCTTTTTTTTTTTTTTTTGTCTTTTATTTGGTTAGTTCTTTCCAAAGCTTTACCCTTCACCTTAAAACTCAAATTAAGTCCAGCAGTGTGCAGCCCAGGGCATTATTAACTGTGAGACACAGGCTGACTGATGGGTGGTTGATGCTAACTGCAGTGGAGGTGTGGCAGGCAAGGCCACATTGGGGAAGAGGTCTGCAAGGCATTCAGCTCAGAATGGACAGTCAGCTATGGACAGGCAATGCATGTCTCCCACAGTAGCTCTGTTAAATGTAACAGAGTTCTTCTGCTTATAAAGGACATAAGGTTGAATCCTATAGCAGCCACTTTTTATGGGATCATAATGGATCTCACAGTAAGGCCTGAGTAGACCACAGAGATAATTTAAATCTTCTCACTCTTCCCTTTGCAAGAACTTCAGAAGACAGAAGGTTTGTTCCTAGGTGCTGGGGGTTTATCTTCTTGCTCTCAAGGAGATGCCTCTGCAGAAAGCCACAAGGTTGCCCTGTGTCTGCTCAAACGTACTCAATCCTCATTTTATTATCGGTGCAAACACAGCTCTGTTTTCATGTGGCTTTGCTTCACCCAAGAAAATCAGTAAAATCCAGTAGAGCATAGAAAGTCTCCTGGCCTTTAAAATCTCAGGAACTCAAATAATACCCAACTGCACTATGTATGAGAATCCAGCAGGACCATAACTTGGCAATCCTGTGTGTTAGAGGGTGCATGAGAGGTGGTAGGCTGATCTAGGAGAGTGTTGGTCTCTGATGAAGTGATTTAGAGAAAAGAGCCATTCAGCAACCCAGTGGATCAAGATAAATTGTTTTGGAGACTGGAAGGCAAAAAGTCAGAAATGGGCCCTCTCCCCAGCTAATAGCTAAAATCAACACAGGAACACAATGGGAAAATAAAAAAGAGATGAAGCCTGAGAAGAACTTCACCGTAGGGCATTTGTCAGTCTAACCCTCTGGCTGAGACATGCCCACCAAGAGATGGGATAGATCCTAGAGGTAATCAGGCCTGGGACGTATGTGCCAGCAAAGCACCTACATTTTTGAGACTGTTCTGCACTACTATGAGCAGTTTGTATTGGAAGACTGAAACAATGAATTGATAGAGAAACCAAGTGCTGAATGTGTTTGGAAATCTCCTCAGGTCGTTCAGAGACGGAGGTGAGACACATTCCCCATGTGGCACGGTGCTCCCAAGCTGGCCAAACTGAGCAGAAGTCACAGCCGTTTACAGCCATCCCAGAGTCAGACCTGCTGGCTAAATCCCAGAGCTAACCATTCGTCTGCCTTGGAGTTTCTTCCCATCCTGTAGCAGATAAAAAGGGCCTCCACTTCACTGAAAAATAAAATCAAACGGCCTATTCTTGTGCCAAGGTTAAGGAAAGTCTTTCCTATGTAGATCTCAATGGTGCTATTTCCTATGCAAATGAACTGTCTGCTTTGATTTTTGCTGTACATCTTGCTATGCAGAGACCAGTCAAACTGAAGATACCAAGAAGTGAAAGGCCTACTGCTTGCAAGTAGCTCTTAGTGCTCTATCTGTTACTGTATTGCTTTTTGGGCAAACTTGCTAGTATTGGGCAAGCATGTTTATCTCGTTGTATTTAACTTCCAAGTTTCATCTAGAGAGATTTCATCCTTCCAGTTACCACTGGAACACATGTAGAACATGTTTCCTACCCCAGAGACACCTTCCGACAAGTCACGCAGTAGCACAAGCCATCATTTTGAATAAATACAAAGGGAATGAGCAGGTTTTGTAGAGATCAAGCTTGTTTATTGGACCATGTTAATGTGATATTTAATTCATGTCATAACAGTAACTCCTCAAATTTAGTACACTGTCTTTTAGCATAAATGTTTGTGCATGACCTATGTAACTGGCAATGCACTCAAGAGCACCATAGATAGGGTATATACATAACAGTATTCTTATTAAGAAAATTTCAGGATCTTTTACCCCTATGAGATGGTGCAGTGGGATCTGATTGAAGATTTGTGGATTTTCTGGAAAGCCTTTTGGAGCTTTTGCCAAGAGGCTGTGTTAGGAAAATGAAAGGCAATCTGCATTCTTAATAGTAATTAAAAGATCTGAGGAGCAAAATACAGATGAGAAATCTGCAACTTCTCCACCCCCCAAAAAAGCAGCAGTGCCTAATCCCCTTTGCTCTAACATACACCCTAGCATATAGTTACCCATCCAGTCTCTTCTGGAGGAAACCCTTGATTGTCTCTGTGTTCTGATTTTACTAAGTACCATTGCCTGCTTTTCCTTAAAACTTATTTTTAGCCAGTTAAATGGCATGCACTCAGTGTATTTTTTTTTTTACTAGTGAGTAGAGTTCAAGATACAGGCTGCACGCCCAGATCAGGACTGGTGCTAAAAGCTACTCTTTCAATAGAGATAATAGTCATCAAAGGGACTTTTGTATTACCGTCACATCTTATAGAAGTGAACCTTATGTGCTAAGGCTTAAAAAGGTAAGAAAGGAATGTGTGTTTGCAGGACTACTGCCCTATGAACCCAGGCACCACAGGCTGCAGCACTTTCTGCTTTAGTCTGTGTGCAGGTATTTGCAGTCTTTGGAAAAGGAGCTGGAGACTGCTTTTTAATTTAGATCTGCCATATGAGCAGAGACTAAACCTACAAGTAGAGCCCTGGGCATTGTCAGAAGCTGCCCTGCAGAAAATGCAGATGCCTTGGTGCCTGTGCAGGTGATTAGGTATGGTAGAAGGAGGCTTATGTGGCAAACAGCCTTGCAATCTGCCATGGGAGGTGGTGGATCGGGGCAGAGTTGTGGTTCACCGCGTCCCCTTCTAATCCCCAAATAAAGAGAATGGCTTTTGCATCTCACCACTCCCACCTTTGCAATAAAAGGCAGGTGCTTCCTCTTATTTTTTTGTAAAGTGCCTTGAGGTCTATCAGAGTGATGCATCTAGTGCAGGAGAGTATCAGTTCAGTTCACTGAAGACTCTATTCATTGACTCTTAAGTTTAAACCCAGGAATTCATTGGTATTTGTTGCTGGATTTTCCTGGCTGGCCCTGTGGTAAGAGAGGAAATGCTGTTAAAATCGCCTTAAGGAATGGGGCAATGTATTATTTACAAATTCCAAAGGTGCTAATGATGTATGGGTTTTATGGTGTCGCAGGTCTTTATTTTTTAATTAAGTGTGTAAATTATTGCAGTTGTAACAAGCAGACCATTTTTTTTTCTTTTTTTTTGCCTATCAATAAAAATGCAAAAAAAATCATTGGAAGAAAACATTTTTTCTGTTAAATTATTTAAAGATAAATATTTGTGTTTTAAACTGAATTAGCTTCTTGGAAGCTGCAGCTGGGAACGGATTATTTTCCTTCTTTGCCATTTGCGAAAGGCTTTCTTCATTACAGCTGTGGATGCTGTTTTATGGACCTATTAGTGTTTCTTGTTATTAATATGGGAGAACTAAACTGTTTCAGGTTGAGCACTGTTCTGCATGTGTATTTGGAGATGTGCAATCACAGCAAGGCTGCTCTGTTCAGAAGTAAAACGTGTGTTTCAGCTGCAGTAATAAATGTTGCAGCAAGAGCTAACCCCAGGTTCTGTGCTCTAGCCACCAAATTGTCTGGGAGATGAGCACAGCTCTGAAATGCTGGGCACAACATTCCCTGCAGAGAGAATTTGTTGATGGCTCAGTCTTTTAAGGCAGAAAGGGCCAGGACTGGCTGTCTAGGCTTGGCTGGGTAATTTTTTGAGAGTGTGCTGGGTGCCAGAGATACTGACGGGACTGGTAGATATGGTGTTAGGACCGAGGGGTGGAATGGCAGCAGGTGTCCCAAGGAGGATGAAGTAGCACTTTGAATGCCATGAGATGCCCGTGTCCAGGTAATCAATTCTATATTCCATCCTAGAGTGGGAGTCACCGTCAGGTCACGGCACCTGAATTTAGGGGCCTACCATGTGAGTTGTGGAGCTGGGAGATTGCTGAGGTAGTCCTAAAGTGATCAGCTGAACCTCTCTCTGAACTGCCTTTCTTGAATTAATTGGAGCTCCACTCAGCAGGCTGGGAGCCTACTGGTAGCTGTATTTATCCCATGATAGCTCCTTCAGGTTCCCACTATGCTGGTATGGGGATAAACATGCTAAAGATTATGGTGATTTGGTGTTGTGGGAATGGCAGCCGTACAGCTCAGAGGTAGAAGGACAAGGTTATGGCGTGAACGTTGACCCTATACTCATGTCCTAATGCCTGCTGCCAAGTTTGGTAACTGTCTGAAGCCTGCACTGGGGTACACAGAATCCATAAGAGCTTGGATTTTACTTTCAATGCCCTTTTTGCAGGTGAAGTTAGCTAAGAAAAAGAAGTCTGCTTAGCTTAACAGGTCTGGTTTAAATCTAGAAGTCACAAACACAGATTTTTGGTGCCTGACCTGTGAAATGGGAACAGTTGATTAGAAAAGCACTAAGATATGATGAATATGAAACTGTAGTTGTAGAGTTGCTTTACAAAGCAGATTTTCATTCTAAGGGATAACTTCTGAATCACTTGAATAGCTTGATTCAGCCTTGCTCTGGCAATACTTGGGTTGAATTTGGCCTGAAGTGAGAATAAGAACACATTGCTGATCTCTAGGGATAATGTGCACTGAAAATATGGGTCCTGTGTTGTTATTTTTTTTTTCATTTTGGATCGTGAAGGTTATGGAGAATGCACAAGGGAACAATTTTACAGGAGGATATTAATCATGTTCTAAATTTCGTGGGAAGGAAGCAGTCAACATCAGGGCAAAAAGTGCCCTGCAAGTCAGAGCAGAAAAGGACCTTCTACCTTGATAAAGGAAAGTCCAGGATCAAACACTAGGTATGAAAAAGTGCTCAGGGATAACAGAGCCCAACATCAGAGTAACCCCTCACCAGCCTTGGCTTTGGCTCAGCA